TGAGAATATACAATTGTGAAAGAAATCTAGTCAGTCTCTCCCTTCTATAGTGTTAAAATGCTTAATGTTTGTAGCTTAACCCGGAAGGATCAGATGGCTTTTTTAAAATTAGTTTAAGATTACATAAATATAAATAAAGCTTGCCATGGATTAATTTCACTTGCTACATACGGATTTATACAAGTTATGAGAAAGTCCATTCTTAAGACTGCGTGAATATCAACAAATCTGACTTTTCAATAAGAGTTTTCCTTAACATACTGGAAAAAATAACTTAACTAAGCATTTATGACATGAGCTGGTACTGGCTTAGGTTCTGGGAATAAGACCCAGTTTCTTTCCTCAAAAGAGTTGCAGGCTGATGTAGAGACAAAAATTGCGAGAAAGTGTATTACATTCCACTGCAGAAGTTTGTACTTCATATAAATTGATAGAAATGCTAGCAAGTTATTTTAAGTTTATTCTAGAGAAGTAGTTCAGAATAGCTTCATAGACGAGAGGACCTGAACTATCTTGGGAGATCTTTAAACACATGAGGAGTGGGAACTGGAGGTGAGAAGGCAAAGGCCGCCCAGCCTTAGAAAGAAAATGCACACAGGCATGATCTTGTGGCTTATTCACCCATTCTTACAGGCCTAATAAGGACACCTGCTGGTAGCTGCATCATTGTCATCATCATCACCATTATGTTAACAATGAATGAATACTTATTGTCAGGTAGTCAAATGAGCTCTTAGCACCTAGATGTTTTCTACCACCTACCTTATGAGTTCAATATTGTAATTATTCTCACTTTACATGTACAAACATGAAGGCTTAGAAAGATTAAGCAATTTGCTCAAATTAAGTATGTATACTTTCAATTCCATGCTCTGGACCTCTGTGCTTAACAGGCTAAAATGACTGGCACATATTAAGGGCTCAAATATTGGTTAATAAGTATAATAATCTCATAAAAGCTGAAGTGATCTACTTTGAAGCATATGATGCAGTTTGGTGAATGCACTTGAGTACCTATAGATGAATAATACAAGTGAGATACACGCAAAAACAGAGAATAAAAATTCATATATGTATATCTGTTTGGAAGAAAGAATATTTTTCATGGCTAACTTCTTAGTAAACAGCAGGATATCCCACACACATCGCTAGGGAGCATCAACAGGGCAGAGTTACAGATGCACAGAGAGAAAATTTACATTTCCTGCACATTACAGATATGTATGTGTTCTGATCATTTCTTAAGAATGAAATAATTTGAATTTGTAATTTTACTTTTCAATGGTGTACATGAATCATGTTAGGTGAAGAATTGTTGGTTGATTGGAAATTTTATGTTTGAATATTTTACAGAAAACAGCAAACAACTCCTTTTAGTCTTAAAACATCACATTCAACAAATGAGCAATTATGCTGAAGAAAGTGGCCAATTCAGTACAGTGTCTGGGATCTAAAATATATGATAATTACCTGAAGGAACTGGGAATAGATGAGATAAGGCCAGGAGGGAGCTAGGTGGTGGCTGAAGCTTTTAGCCCGGGTGGCTGAAGGTTTTAGCCTGATAGCCAGGTTTAGGTTGGTAAAGGGATGACTATTTTAACGACTAGAACTTCTTAGCGACAGAGTAGACTGCATTTTAC